ATTATTTCGACCAATTTGAATTTTTGTTATTTGGATGCTGGTTAGGACCATATTTATAGATGTTTTTCCTTAAGGTGTATGTCAACTGGAAAAAGTACAAAATAGTTAATGATTTGTTCAGACACATTTGCCTGTCATGACTGCTTTTGCTGTTACGAAAACTTTTTAGCCACAACAAATTCTACTTTTTGAATTTAATAAATCCAGTTCTAAAGATGCTGGTCAAAGTATTATGAATTACATACCCACTGAGATCTTCAAACGAATTTGAATCAATAAATATGGCTTGTTTTTAAAATTTGACACACAAACCATCTAAAAACTTTAATAGTATAATCGTCAAAACAAATGAAATTATGTCAGTTTGATTAGGGATGCAGGTTTGCCCTGTGGATTTCAGAGCTATTTCCCACATTTTAAGCATTGTAAGAATGACAGTCAATCCATTAGCATGGATGATGGGTGATTGACTGACTGTCTTCCCTGTTGTCAGTAGTTCAAAATTAAGGATTTCAGTAAAAGCCTTACTAGCTTTGTTATAAAATGCAAATACAGCTTGGTTATGTTTAAATGGAATTGCTTTCTAATTAGGAAAATATCCTCTTTTTTCTAATTTATAAAACTGCTTTATTTGTGAAATATATCTACAACTTTTATGGAAAAGAAAATTTGTCATCAATACTTCAACCTTTACAATAATAAACTAAACTTCAAAATTTTATACAAGTTTATTTAATGTGATTTACACACTACACAAAACAAAATGAGTACCACCACCACAATTATAAATTTTGGGATTCATCCTGTGTTTCAAAAACTATGTTCACATCCTTCTTTTTTACCTGGTTGTAGCAATAAAATATTTGACTAGCTATATCAATTTTCATTTGTGTTTTTAAACAGCATAGACATTGTAGGATTGAGATTTGTAATGGACTGCTCCTTGTTTCTTAAGTAGGAAGTCATTTAAGTAGGTGCATGGGCATCCACAGAAATTTTTCTGTGGTGAGGGAGCGACAAACTCATAAGCAAGGGTCAATGGACCCACCTCCAAAGTTTTGCCATTATAGTCAAAAGAATAGGCAAGTTCCCACAGTCAGATTTCATGGGTTTAATATTTGTAAGTAATACTGGGATGTCTGCAAAACTGCATCTGTCTCTTTGATAACCCGCTGCCAGTATTACCAGTAAGTGGCAAGAAGTTGACCCTGATCACACTATGTTGGGGATCAGAGGAAGTCGGCAAGACCACATTGGTCTCTTTGATGACCTGAGTGAGAATTGCCTTGTCCAATATCTAAGAAGCCACAATAGTAGTGACTTTTTCCACATTTAACAACAGGGTAGGTATCTAAAAATTTTAAGTAAAGCTGCTGAGAAGCCTGACGACTTGTATTAGAATTTAAAATTAAGTGTAATATGTAGTGTGAAATTGTGAAGGGAATAAAAACTAGTAAATTCATATACGTATGCTGAATGAATAAAGAAAGAATTATGTTTCTTAACATCCAGCACTGTTTTGTACCAGTACTATGTTCTCTATTTTATTTTTGTATAGTAGTCCAGAAATTAAGGTCTTATGGCCCCATTCTTTTTTATAAACAAAACTGATGAGTAAAGAATAGATAAAGACTTGAACCTTTTCATTATCACAATAATAAAAATAATTATATAATACATCAGAAAAATGTTTAAATGCAGTATAAGTGTTTTGTTGAACCATTTGTGAAAATATCAAGTTGAACTTTATATGTTGAATGAAACAATTTTACAGGGCCTAAAAAGGATTAGCATGCCACCAATAATAATTTCCTACAATGTCACTACATTTATTTGTATTAATATCCACAATGTTTCCAAGTGTACGTGGCTTTAAGCATGTATATAAAACAGACTACAGTAAGACAGTGCACATCTGTAAGTATGAATCTTTGATGGTGTTTTTGGAACAATTAAAAACAATTTTCATTTCAGCAGAATTATATTGCAGTTTGACCAATGGACTACTGCACTTTTATATTAAGAAAATACAAGTAACTAAGCCATAGTAGTACTGTACTTTAAGTTAACTTAATGTACTTTAAGTAACATCCTACTAAATTATAAAATGTTTACACTGATTCTAATACACTTCTGTACCTATCCATCTCATTCACATTTAGTAAGTAATGAAAATTACACAGAAAAAAATGTAGTATGAAAACAGATAACTTTATTTAGATTGCCCCGTTGATTAGTCAATTTTACCTGCAACTGATCAATTTGGAAAGTATGAGCTTCACTAAAAATTAACTTCATTGACATCTTCAGAATAAATACATACCTTTCCTAGCAGAGTAATAAAAATGATACAGTAGTGTAGAGTTTTGTAACTTTAATCCCCAAATTTTTTTTCATGAAAAAAGAATTTGTAGATGGTATGTTCTGCTCTTATTGGTCAGCAAGTACTGGATTTGTTTTTCTTGGTGTGGTTTCCAGGTATAAGCCTACTATTATGTAAAAAAATGTTCTTAGTGCTTAATTGATGTGTCTCAATCAAATAAGGTTTATGTCTTCCCATATATGAAGACTAGTTAGAACCTTTTTTTTTTTTATCATGAAGGTTGTTCTTTAGATGTTTATAATTATTAAATATGTTGGTTGAATATTTTATTTCTACTAGTTTTTAATTTGTCTTATTGTGCACAATCTTGTTAAAACCTTTAATTTTCTCTTCAAGAAAGCTGTTTCTTTATGTATTGAGGTTTTTTGAACTTAGATTTTGACCAAAAAAGTTATTTTGCTTACAATTACAAGTGTCTTTTGCACATCAAGTCAGGGTAGAACCACCTAATGTATCTAATGTAAAGGTAAATTGATTGTCTGCTAATAAACATATCAAGTATATACGAATTTCAAGAATCATCTCTACAAGATTCAATTAAGTAAAATTTTAGATACTTATAAAATATTTTTTCTTTGCTTGATTTTACTTGGTTTACTTGAACTGACCTCTTTGCCATTTTTGTGTAGGAAACACTGTCAAACAAACACAGGTGAAGATTAATTTATAAGCAAGAGTGTAAAGATCAACTGTGAGTTTCATTAAAGTTCTGTTTTGTGTACTTAACCAAGCTAGTTTTCAACATTGAAACAGATTGTATGTTCTGTTCCAGGGAGGAACATTTGTAAGAAAGGTGACAGTATTTAAGTTACCCAAGAACCAAGTGAATAAGAACCAAGTGTGAAGATGAACAATGTGAATATCTGGATGGAGTACCGGCAAATGAAGTGGATGAAAAAGAGGGTCAGGAGACAAAGAAAGAGGCAGTGGAGGTAAAAGCTGGAGATGGAGAAGTTGTGGAAACCATGATTGAGCTGGCCAGTAAGGAGCAATCAGAAGGACCTAACACAGAATAGTAGGGATGAGGGAAATCATCAATGGAATTAAGAGGATGGGGGGATGAACATACAAAAACCTGTGGGACCAATCCTGGCCAAAAGCATCAACAGCCCTAGCTAGAGAAAGAGGTACCAAATACCAAATAGAAGTAATGGGAGGTTAAGAGATGTAGTAAAGGGGTCTATGTGGAAGACAAAGCCATCCGAAAATGAGAATCGAGTAAACACTTCAATGTACAGAATGTGTCAGGATGAGAAAAACAAATTGCAATCCAAGTGAGAGTACCCAGAACATGAGGAAGTATGATCAGGTGCCAACCACAAGAGCAATGCCTTCCAAAAAGGGACAAAAGAAAGAAAGGAACATACCATAAATCTTATTAGTATTGGAAGGAAAACAAACAGCAGTGCCACATCCAATACTAACCCAAAAGCAAAGAAGCCAAGTGAAGAGGGAATGAACTGAAGATGGCAAAAACCCTAACATGGGGGGAAGAAAGAGGAGCTATCCCTCAGCAAACCTGAAATGTAAACAGAACACTGAATAAAGGGAAACATAAGACATCAAAAGTATCAGTGACGAAAGGGGAAAAAAGAATGACAAATGCCAGAAGAAATTTGTCTGAAGTTAAACTAAAGTAAAATTGAAAGCCCATAGAAGGTAACTCTAAAGAGATAAAAGGAACAGCACAGAAAACATAAATATATTATTCTGCAAAATGTGTAAAGGAGGTCTAGCAGATACTACAATAGAAGTATGGAAGGCATACCATTATAAGGTGAGAAAGAACTGACAAATTTAGGACACTGGAAAATGGGTTCAGCCATTAGATGGGGAAGGCGATCAATAGTGGAAGCAGATACGGCAAATCTCAGCTCCCAGGGATCAAGACATTAATTTAAATTACTGGTACGAAGGATAAATTATAAACAAAACAAAATTAATGGTAAGAAGTATAAAGTAGAGATTAAATGAAAGTAACTGTAAAAAGTATAAACTATAAAGTAAAACAAAATGAAACTGTCAAAGTAGTAAAAAAATGGGAAGAAAATGGTGTAGGGAACGGATACCTTATGATGTTGAGTTGAAGAAAAATCTAGAACTATGGTAGATATGACCTGTCCATAAAACTATGGGAAACCAATAAAGTAATTAATAATAATAAGAGTAAATTATAAACTAAATGAAATTAATATAAAAAAGTGAAAAGTATAAACAAAATGAATGAAAATTATAAAGAAGTGATGAAATGAAAGTAACTGGAAAAGGATATACTATAAAGAAATAAAATTAGAAGAACCTCATATGATGTAGTGGGGAAGAAAAACTGTAACCTAAGTAGATATTAACCTGTCAATAAATCAAACAGTACAGAACAAAGGATAACCTAAAAATGAAACTAAACAATAAACAGCCACAATACTGGGAGAAATCTGTGTGGGTCCAAGTTGAAGGGTTCCATCCAAACCAAGTGAAGAAAAAGATTACTAACAAAATGAAATAGAAATGATGATATAAAAGTAAAGAAATAACATAGATAGACTTATGAAGGACATACCATGTTAAGCCTAATCGAATGGTATAGAAGGAAAGCAACAAAGACTAATTACGAATTGCAACATAACTGAGTATTAACTAATCTAAATAAGCATATGTTATGGAGTTCAAATAATTACAGATGATAATATGACTAACAATAATATTTTAAAACATATTATCTTTCCAAAGTTAGCAGACTGTATGGCAAATGGTGAAGCACGAGGCGAGGTCCAACGAAAATCCAGACGTTAGATGATCAAACTCCCGATGGAATAAGGTGGAAACTCTCTGTGGAGTAACGTGAATGAAAGCCATTATAAACGTACGAAAAGAACATAGAATCTCCATATTGGGAATGGAGACTACATAATGAAAAACCAAACACTTGAAATCCGGTGGTGGAAAAAGGCTATCAAGACCTCCATCTACTTGAACGGGGTCGGCTTCTACAGAAGGAATTGTGGGCGAGAACTGAAGAAAGATAACATTCAATCTCCCGGAGGACAAACACTGATAAAAACTCACGTGGGTTGCCTACTCATGCAGCTTGTGAGATAGTCATAGGCATGACCATCGAAGTGGTAACATTAGCTTCAGAATCGAACTGGAATAAATGAAGGCAAATTTCAAACTCCAGAAAATCTGGAAGTAAATGAAGATCACTTCACAAGTACACCAAATATGGACGTGAAACAGTAAAGAATGACAAAAAAAAACGTCCGATTACAAGTACTGCGAAGTGAAAGTTTGGTAGAGGTGCATAGAGGGAGTCATGTGAGTGTACTATGCTCCTATTGATGGAGAACTGACACATGATTAACATGAGACACGCATTGGAATCACGAGATTCCAAAAGGGGAGCAGAAGGCTTGTGGTATGCGTAAATAAAAGGTTCGCATAGAGGGGGCAGCAATGAATGAGAATAGCTAATCTTGTGAGAGGAGGAAAGTAACATATCGGAAAAAGTAAAATGCTTATTTTGGAATTTGTAATTTTATAACGTTTCTAAAATATAGGACTTATTTTTGTTTTAGTTTTTACCTGCTTGTGTAATTTTCTTTGTTTTACAGGGTTTATGCACGTATGTGATAATAAAATAGTAAAATGCTAATTTCGGAATTTGTCATTTTATACCATTCCTAAAATATATGACTTATTTTTTTACCTGTTTCTGTAATTTGTCTTTTTTTAGATTGTTTTCCATTGTCTCTTTTACCATGTCTTTATTGCTGCCATTGAGCCAGTCCTACTTTCATGGATCGAAGAACAACTCCAATATTTTCTTCTAACCAACCCAGATCTAGAAAAAGAGAATCTGTGATGTAGAGGCCTAATGTATGCTTAAAGAAGATTTTGCCATCTATGGTGCATACACGGTCTGTATCTCTCTTCATCCTTCCTCAAGACTTGAGTCATTTTTGCCCAGAAGGTGTAGAAGTATTCTGTTACAAACACCTTTTCGAACTTCTGCTTATTTAAGTTCTTTTTACCATAAAGGGTGTTAATTTTCACATCCCTTCTTACAAATCCTGCCATTATTGGCATTGGTTTGTTAGTGGCTAATACTAACGTTCCCATGATTAATATGCACATTGGTTTCTAATTCTATCACAATTTTATTGGTAGATTTCTCATCTTCTTCTTTAATGCTTCTAGTTATTATATTGTTTTTTTTTAAATACTGCTCTTGTTTACTAAGATGGTATTCATAATTCTTACTTAATAACTTTCAACAATGGACAACCACGTCTTTGATCGCTCAGTTTGTAATCACAAGAATCAACGCTGCTAGAACAGCAGTTACTGTATCTTTTACAAAATTACTATCTCTTTCTAGCCTCATCAGTAGATACTGCACTGCATCTTTGACCAGTTCATCCACATTAAAACTCACTTCATTATCAACTGCCATATCAACTTGACAAAAGTTAACTTGTAAAGTAACATTACATTCACTAAGCCTAATCTAAAGCTTGTAACATTTACACCGTCAAGTATTAATTTAAATATTACAATCATTATTTATCAGTCTAGTTAAATCGACTTATCATTTGATGCCGGCTGTAGTTACTTTGTATTTGTGGGACCAAGGTCTTCAAGACAGATGAGAATTGGTGGGAAGGTTATGCAATTATAGAGTTCTTGTGTTGAACAAAGTAGTTTGAGATGAAAAGCTAGTGTAAAAGTATGATGCTTCAGAACTTGCAGTCACTGGCAAAAGCTGTAAAGAGCAGAAAGCCAGGCAGTGTGATCATAAGACACAGACATTTAAAGGTCTTGTAAGTATACAATGGAAGGGGCGGATACAATTCCCAGGATATTTCTGACAGGTAACAGGAGTTACAGATAGGATGTAATTTCTAATTGTGAACATTCATCTGTGTCTTCCAGGAATGATGTTTGTTGACAAGAATACCAAGATATTTGAATTATCTGAGAGCAGAATGAGGACATCATCAGTTCAGAAAAATAAATAAGAATGGATTGGGGCAAGTAAGGTATTTATGACCTGTAGGATCAAACAAGATGACTAGTCTTTGAAAAGAGTAAGCAATGGCTTCAAACCAAAAGTGTTGACAGCAAACTGTAAAACTTTACTGGGGTGATATATTGTTGTGCAGGTGTCTAAAATATCACTATCTTCAGCATATTGAAAAAGATGAACTATGAATCTGAGGTGACATGCCAGAAACATATAACATGCAGTAAAAACTTTATTTTCTAATTACGAAAGTGTTTCCCTTGTAACATTTTACAGAAAAATTTTGACATCTTGTTAATGTTCCAAAGTATAGTATTTGTACATCATCTATAGCTTACAGTTTTGAAATAACAATAAATGTTTTGAAAAAAATTAAACTGCATAAAAACATAAGTATAGTATTTTAAATGTGAATGACAGTACAGGTGGCTAACAACTTAAACTTGCTGGCGGTAAAAAACATAAAACCACAGCAGTGTTATTAAACTACAAGGAGTATTTTTTGTATTTGGAGATATTGAAATTTTCTAATATGAAGATGCTGGATACCAAAGCTTTTACTTTATAAAAGATAGAAGTCAATAGTGATCCTTAAGGTACACGAGGGTATAGGAAAGAAAAGAGGGTGTGAGAGAGGTCTTTCAATTGAAACTTATACATTTCTACCAATAAAGGAGTTGATAAAACAAATGTAACTGGAAGTGAAAAATGGTAGAGTTTAAAGATTGAGCCTATGTGCCACACTGAATCAAAAGTACCTTAAAAATTAAAAAAGAAGCATGTCAAAATGTTTGGAAGGATTAAAATGGTTGATGGGCCCGGCATGGCCAGGTGGTTTCTATATCTCGTAATCTGAGGGTCGCTGGTTCGAATCCTCATCACACCAAACATGCCAATCTCCGCCTGGTCCCAAGTCCAGGATGAGAAAGGGGGAGGGTTGGGCATGGGGCTAGCAACTCCACCCTGTAAAAACCAACCTGCTACAAGTATCTGCAACAACACCTTCCGTTGGCGAGGTGTTGTTGCAGCTCTATGCTCCACTGGGAGTTTACAGGATTAATAATAAAAAAAAAGGTTGATGAGTGAATCAGAAATTTGAGTTTATCCATGGTAGAAAGGTGAAGTTGAAAGCCACTTTGTGAATTAAGTAGTACACCATAATCCTGGAGGAAGCGTGGTGTTGGCAAACAAGAATGTGTTCAAGTGTTTTTTTGGAAATACATGATGCTGATGGGATAGTAACAATTGACTTGAATGGGATACTTTGGCTTTTAGAACAGAATGATAATGGAGACTTTTCAGGATAAAATTCCTACAGAAAAAATCTATGGAATGTTGCAAGAAGAATGAAAAACTGTGCTGCAGCATGTATAAGATTAAAACAAGTTAATCTATTTGGACCAGAAGCTATGTTGTACCTACCTTTAAGAGCCATTTGGAGATCTACTACAATAAGAGAAGCATTTTAAAAAGATATTGTATGAAGTATGTGCAGCAGATGGAGTGATATTTTTAATCTACATATGTTTTTACTATTAACTGTTATAATAATCTGTGAGAAATTGACATGTCATTTTCAAATGCGTAAATTGTAACTCATAAATGTTGCATATATATTAGGTCGTCAATAAAATAATGTCGCGTTTTGGAACATTTTCATTAACCACCACCCAAAAATGTACATCATGTATAATAGTTAAACAAACCTCCTAAGTGTCACGTTAGTGTAGCCTATATGATGTGTAAAGTTTAGTATACTCTAATCCCTTATGGTGATGGCACACGACGAGATACACAATTGGCATGTAATGCTGTTTGAATACAAAAAGGGAAACAATGCTTCTGTAGCCACAAAGAATATCAAAGAAGTTTATGGAAATGTTTTGAACGTTCGTAAGTGTCAATGATGGTTCAGCAAATTTCATTAAGGTGACTTTAACCTTAAAAACCATGATGGCAGGGGCCAACATGTTGGAATTGATATTGATGTTCTGAAGATGCTTGTTGAGTCTATCTAACTCAAGCCATCACACTCGTGAAATGGCCCTGAAATTGCATGTCTCTCATGAAACAATACTTAAACATCTAAGAAATATGGGAAAACTCCATAAAGGTGTTTGAGTGCCTCACGAACTCACCGATGATCATCGATTCCAGTGTATGAACATTGTTTTGTCTCTTCTGACGTGTAATGCGCGTGAACCATTTTTGTAGAGAATTGTCACCGGTGATGAAAAATGGATTCTCTACGCGAATATTAAATGCCAAAAACAATGGCTCAGTCCCAGACAAAAAACCACTTCCAACCCCAAAACCTGGACTCCACCTGCAGAAAGTGATGCTTTGCATTTCAAACTCCTCCATCCACAGCGAACTGTCAACGCTATAGTCAGCAACTGGAAAGTTTAAATCAAG